GGAGAATGATATATATATAGATAATAGATATATATAGGGTGATAATATACAACATTTCAGAGGTATAGATAGTTTAGAATCTCATGAACCTTAGCCTTGAGTTTCCAGTGATAGGAACCCCATTATTTATTTTTCTCTTATTAAAACATTGACTCTTACCACTTTTTATAGTTTATCTGAAGCTTCATCCCTGGGCGTATAGCGGGCACATCATCATTCCTAATTTATTTAAAATTATTACACTAATTTGATATGTGGTGCAAGTGAACCAGTTATACTGGGACTTGCTCTTCTTCGTCTTTAACGGTTCCCTCAACTTTTCACTTTTACTTAAAAAATAAATATCAAAGACAAATCATACTAAGAAGTTGAAAACAATACAATTATGTTTGTAAAATTTTATTGTCAACACATGATAAATAATATACAGATATATATTTAGTTGTAAAATTTTATCACTTATTACGTTTTGCAATTTTGTGCAAGAGAAGTATCTTATCACTTATCATACGAAATTATCAATAGTAAAACTAAATCAAGTCAAAGAATTATTTTGTATTAAAAGAAAACTTTCTAAACTTATTTGTCTATAAAAACAAAACAATAGCACAAAACTAAGTAAACAAATGATAGTCTCTACAAATATCAACTTTTAAGGCACTTTCTTTTCCTGTTTAAGAAGGAACTGTTTTAGATGCATATTTTTCAATTATATCAAAAAATTATAGATAAAGCATCAGAATAACTTTCTTAAAACAAAATAAAAATACAATAAAAAAACAGGCGACCAATTATTAAAATTATTACACCTTCGGTTCCTTCTTAAATTTTTTATCACATACTTTATTAGGGAAGTTATTAAAATATTGATAATATTATTTATAATATTTTAATAACAATTTAAAACATATCTTTAAAAATTTTAAGCGCCAATAAAATTTCCATGGCAAAGGTGTGATTGTGAAGTTTCCCTAATGCTAGTGGACGACACCGTAGGGGTAGCTCGTAAAATCGGAGTGGACTCCCCGTTTGACGGCGCTAAGCAAAAAAAGAAACCAATAGAATACAGGATTATACAACGATTAATATTTGTGTTAGTTTACCTTTAAATAAATTTCAATTTTTGAAAAAAGCCAAATTCATATCTTATTTCTTACTAGCATCTCTGTTAATTCAAGCATCTCAGAATCTGAAAATCATTAGTCTTGAACAGTTATTGGAAAAATAACTACATAAATAAGAGGATTTCAGAGAAGAAATCACTTATTAAACCGCAATTAAACTTTCAACTTCCGAATATTAATAAAAAAAAAACAATAATTTTGACTGAATGATTTTAAAATTAGGATATTTATTAGGACTGTTTAAATGTTATTTGTTAGAATAGGTAAGAAAAATAAGAAAATACCTAATACACAGAATGTTCCACGAACAATGTCGCAATTCTGCAAGTTGATTTTCATCAACTGCGTGCCAAAGAGAAAGTATCCTAAACCACTTCCCATTGCTATTGAAAGGAACATCCATCCATTAAAACCCATGACACTCAACATCAAAAGCAAACTCAAAATTTGAAGGTTTACCCAAGCAAACAACTCCCAAATAAAAAGAAAAAGTCTAAAATAGAAGAATTATGTTAATTATTCAAAATTAAACAAAAACCAAGGGTGTACTAATTTCAATAACGAGTCGTTTAGAATTTTAGCTACTAAAAGACTTTATTGAGAAAAGCAAATTTATGTGCATCTGAACTTACTGTTTGCTTGTTCAGAGACCACCTTTAATGTATCAAATTTACTTAATTCAGTATGAAGCTTAAACAATAAATATTAATTATATGGTGCTAAACAAATGCACTCATTGTTAGGATTTATATTTATTAGGTATTTCAGTTTCACTTTAATCTGTCAATTAGAATTTTTACAACATTAAGGTATTTATTACTAACCTTTGCCTCCATGTTACCGTTGGAGACCTTCCATTGGGCAAAAGAGAAAGATCTTGTCCTAGACATATAGTTTGTAGTTGCTTTGACCTCAAATATAAATCTCTTTGACGTTGCTTGGCTTGAAGAACTTTTAATCCTTCAATGGCTACTGCTAAAACGAATAACAGCAAGCAAGTAAATACAAATTCCACTTCTGAATCAATATTGTAACAGTAAAAAAGAAAATGTGGATATTTGGAACTCCACCAGAAGAACATTTGCATTTTGATAGGTAAAGCTTGATTTCACGACTGCATGTCTATTATTTATTCGATAATATATTGCAATAACTACTACTGATTGCCAGTTCTATTTAACTTTGACAAAAACTAATTTTTGTCATTACGTTTGTGTATATATTATTTTAACGCATTCTTCAAATGTTTTCCTTATCGTTTTTGTGTGCGTTACATTATCAGCACATTTGCAAAATATTCTAAAATATTTGTTATACAAGCAAATATATTTTCCTTGTTAACCTTAATCTCTACAGCTGTTTGCAGTTGTTTACTACAGATCATGACAAAAACAATAATAACAAGACATGTGATCTTGTTGGAAAGTGGATAGAAGCACGGTAACTGGGTAAATTGGTTGTGATTAATACAAATTATTGAGAAGAAAACACTATTTTTGCCATTCTGTTTTGTTCAAAATTGTGTTTTTCTTAAATTTCAGTAGAAATTTTATTGAAAAATAGTTATTTTGTAGTTAGTATCATTGGTATGTTCATCGCAAATTCGTTACTCTTCTCTATAGTTTACGTATTTGGTGCATTAATCACGTTCAAAAAGAAAATGCAGCTACAAAGCCGCCATTTTGTTTCGTTGGCGTCCTTTCTACTATTTTATCGTTATTGATCAAACCGGTGTGTAGTGTTGTTCTTAAATAAAACTGAAAACTTAAAAAATCAAGAAAAAGATAACAAAAGGTAAATTACTTTCTAGTTTGGTTTCAAGCAATATTTTAATGCGTTTTGAAATTGTTTGAATAGGATGAGTGACCGGGATGATAGAAGCAGGTCTAGAGACCGTTCAAAAAGGGAACGTCCAAGCAGATTTTCAGAAACAAGTCGGGAAAGAAGCTCCGATAGGGGCCGGGATCGTGGAGGTATGAAATCATCCCAGTGTCGCGTTTATGTATCCAACATTCCGTACGAATATCGTTGGCAAGATTTAAAAGATTTATTTAGAAGTCAGGTAGGAGACGTAGCGTTTGTTGAGTTGTTTGTTGACGAAAATGACAAACCTAGAGGATGTGGTATTGTTGAATTTTCGGACCCGAATTCAGTAAAAAAATGTTTAGAGGTTATGCACAGATTTGAGCTTAAAGGTCGTAAACTTGTTATCAAAGAAGATTTTGGAAACCAGAGGGATAAGTATGGCAATTTGGTTGGATCTGCTGCCAGTAAAAGAGCTCGCGAAAGAGAAGAAAGGGATAGGTTTAGGGAGGATCGTAGAGGAGGAAGTGGTGGTTTTGATCTGCCTCCTTCACAAAGTGGCCGTGGACTTCCAGAGGTGGAGAATAAATGGGGAAATACTTTCGGCTTGAGCCCTCAATTTTTAGACTCCTTAGGCATCACATCTCCAATTATCAATCGTGTTTTTGTGGCAAATGTAAGTTATATGGCATTATCAGGTTGAGATTATTAGGTGTGCTGCTTTATTAATTTTTTGCACATACATTTAATATTATATAGTTATTCAATATATCTGTTGTAGTTTTAGACAAAAGATTACTTTGCATCAAACAAGGGATTTCTTCTCAACAGTGCATAGTAGATTTTATTACTGTAATCTCCAAGAAATCCGTTTAGTAGATTTTTTCGTAAATTTATAGTAAGGTGGAATTATGGTCTTTTAATGGAGTTACAGTCTTTCTTTACTAATTTTGTAAGGTTTTTACAATGATCTTCTGAAAAGCTATATATCTTGTAAATGTTTTGTAGCACCATTTTTATATTAGTGTTACCTATATATCTTTCTATTTCATTCATATTTATCCCTTTTATTCAAGTTTTAATGGGAGACATTAATACAGTTCTTTTACACCTCGATTATCATATTTAGGCATTTAGACATATTTGCAATTTCTTATTATACATATTTATCTTTGCATATGTGCTGCTTTTTTTTTTTATTTGAAGATGTGAAGTATTTTTAATCGATTTGAAGGGGCTAATTCATAGCTTTATTATTTGAAGTGTGTGTACATCGATTATTTTGAGATTTCGCTATCGATTTGCCTGATTTAAGTAAAGGAAATATCAACCACCAAATGCTAATCAAAATTCATCTTATGTTGAAACAAACAAAAAATTAATGTCTAACTACAATATATAAATAATATTTACAAAAATAACCAATAAATCTAGTTTAATTTACCAAAAAAACGAACAAAAAATAACAGGTATAAACCCCATATGAAACGACCATTACATGAACGTTTCCCTAATATTTTTTGGATTAATTATTTTGTATTGAGTAGTAGATAATAACAATTATTTTTACCTTTTTGATATTCCAAGTTTCTGAAGTTGGTTTCCTTTATTTTATACGATTATTCCGTTTCTTATACTTACTAAACTTACCTGACATACGAGTTTCTTTTGTCGTTGTTAGTTAATAAACAATAACTTCACATCTTCAAGGTTCTTGTGATTAATATACCATTTGCTAAACGAAGCAGTTGATGTTCTTTCGTTTTCTAGTTGGATTATAAGGTTGACAAGAAGAAATTGAAGGAGGTGTTTAGGTTGGCGGGTAAGGTTCAGAAGGTTGACTTGTCCACTGACAGAGACGGTAATAGTCGCGGTTTTGCGGTGGTCGAGTACGACCACCCAGTCGAAGCTGTTCAAGCTATTTCAATGTTTCACAATCAGCAATTATATGATCGGGTGATGACTGTTCGTATGGATCGCGAGGGCGATCGTCAATCAGTTAAACTACCCGATGGACTTAAAGGGATCGGAATGGGATTGGGCGTTAACGGTGAGCCGTTACGTGATGTTGCTCGAAATCTTCCAAACGCTAACCCAAACCAGCAGCAATCTGTCGGTAATACAGGGGCTGGCTTATTGGGTGCTGTGCCTAATTCCTCTCTGCCCCTTGGTATAGGGAGCGCTCTCTCAGGTTTGAATACAGGTGTTGCCTCTGCTGCTCTGGGAAGTCTCGGAACGAACCCTTCGGTTTTACAAGCGGCAAATTTGGCCGGGTTGTCAAACAATTTGCTCACAGGGGGCGTAGGTGCCGGTGACTTGGGGTTAGCCGCTAGCTTGGTTAATAATCCTATGGTTCAGAATCAGTCTTTGGCAGCGTTGGCGGCTAATACAGGTTCAACGTCCTCTTTTGATAGGAGCGGAAACTCCGCTCCCACGAATCAATCTGGTCAAAACTACCAGAACCCATCGACCTTAACTCAAAACTTTTTGAGCGGTGGAGGTGCTGCTACTAGGGGTGCCACGTACAATGATAAGGGCACAGCAGGATTTGGTTTTGGTACCTCTGATCGCGATACGAGAGTCACACCTGGTAATTTGTTCAATGGAAACCAAGTTCTTCGCAATTCGAACGCCAGTCTTAAGAACTCCGGATATTCGAACAAGATATTGATTAGTAACGTAAGTTCACTAACCCGACGCTTTGTAATTGGACGACCTTCAGTTTGAGGGATAAAACACTTTCTAAAAGTATGATTTTTTTGTACAATTAAATATATTAAAAATCAGATGAAATTTAATTTAGAATGTCACATTTTGAATTACATATAGGTGTGTAGACCGTAAATATAGAAGTTGATTGTGGCTAGGAGTTGAGGGGGTACATCAAATTCTAATGTTGATATAGTCGTATTTTTAAAAAATGTTTATTCCTCAATTCAATCATTTGAGATCTGCAAGAATTTTTGTATTAGTTGATAATTTTAATAATTTCTCCCGTTTTGGTTTTTAAAAATTTATGGTTGACGATCATAAGTTTTATGGTGAATCTAAAAGGACGGTCTTAGATGCGAACGGGGTCTTTTCGATTTTAGGGGCGTATGCTATTCGACGTATTAACTCATTTCGTTCTTCACTTGTAGCTTCCTCCGACTGCTGGTCTGAGAATGTTGTCTGAGAAATGCGCTGAGTTTGGGGAAGTACAGAGGATCGACGATAAGGGCAGTGGTTCGGTTTTGGTTATGTACAGCAGCGAATGGGAAGCTGAGCGCGCTATTAGTATCCTTTTCTTTGTCCACATTGTCTTCTTTGAAGTGGGGACATTCGTAATAAAAAACTTGCTTTTATAAGTGGAAATTTCTAGTTTTTGAGGATGATTCAATTTTATGAATAGTCACTTATTGTTGCAATGAAATTTATGATGATATGAGAAGGGATAACTTTTCTATTACTATGGAGTTTTCACTTTTGGAGGAAAGCAAAAGCTACAGCTGTAGAGTACTGAGATCTTATTGACAAATAAGATTTAATGGTCTTATTTAATTGGTGATCGTTAATATTGATATTTTTCAATGTGTTGTTTCCACTTCAAAATTTTTCTGCAAATACTTCAAAACAATGCTTTCCTTAATTCGTTCACAGAAAACATGGACAGGGCACGAATCGATGGACGTACAATTGACGTTCGCTTTTTCTATTAGTCGATTTTCTTGAATGTAAAAATCCATATCCTAAGTTAGTCTTAAAATGCTTTTTTTGTAATGTTCTTCAGGACGCGTGGAAAGGTTTAGTTTTTTTTCTATTGGATAGATGAAGCAGCAAGAATATTAATTATTGACAAAAAGCACTTATTTGTATCTATAATTCGACCATGTGTAAAGTTAATTTGTAATAAAATATTAATTTTTGTTTTTCTTTCATTTTATGATTGATTTTAAAGAGAATATAGGATTTAATGCCGAAGGAGTTATTATTAAAGTTGTTTTGGTACTAGGAAAGGTAGTTATGTGGTCTATTTATTTATGCTGCAATAATTTTCTGTGTGGATAAGGTATTTGTTTTAAATGTGGAGGATTTGTCGAGTTATCCCAGCAAGTGGGATGAGCAAAATGATGCAGATTGTTTCATTATCATTCACGTGTTTGTAATTCCATCTTGGGAGATGCCAAATGAATTTTTGCTACTGGTATCGTTTACGTCTACATAATGTCTTTTAGGTATTTAGCAAATAAATACGGAATTTTTATATCGTGTATTTAGTAGAATAAATCAAACACATACTACCATTTTTTGGAAGTTCTGTTTCATTTTAAAGCTTATTGGTTACAATTCATACTTATAAGTATTGCAATTAATAAAAAATATATACATTAACCTTTATCATTTTAAAAAAATACTTTATTTGACTTTTATAATGTAGTGGCAGTATTTAAATTTATCTTTTGTTTTCTTCTGTATTTTCATTGTTATTTATTTTTTAACAGTTGTGAACTACGTTGGATGACGAGTGAAGCTCCGATTAAGCTGTATTTAAGGTAAAAATAAAAATTCCTTATTCTCTTAATTTTTGTCATCTTATATATTAATATGTGGACATCAATATTTGCGACAGTTTTTTCTTTATTTGTTATAAAGGGAGGGGAATGAAACTTATTAATGAAGTTATGTTATGCTAGTTATTCGAAAGGCACTGATGCCATAGATATGCACGAAACAAAAATTATTTGTGTATTGAATATTGTAGCCAAATCAGGTAAAATTTAAATTAATTTATAATTAATGCTGGTCTATCATGCGGACAACCGGGTTCGATTCCCGAGCAGTGGAATACTTTTTTCTCTTGCTCACATCAAATAAGTTGGTCGAATATCTACCACGCGAAAAATATAGTATATATGAATGGATTAAAGAAACTAATCACTTAGTATTGTTATATACACGTTAAAATAATGGTTGTAAAGGTATTATAAATAACAAAACTAGACTTTATAACAGGTTTTTATGCATATTTTTTTGTAAAACAACAAAGTTATTAAAGTAGGAAGTTACGAGTTACTGCCCAATGGCAACCCCTGAAACAACAGTAATAACAAGTTGTGGTTTAATTACACATCACGATCTAATATTTTAAAATTAAGGGCACTAGATTTTTATTGTACAGAAATAATTTAAGGTGATGAAAAGCCGTTGTCAGTTCTTATCTTCTTTTTTCACCTATTGCTCATTTTCATTCATATATTTTGAAAGGATTGCAATTACAAACTAAAGTTAACGTTAAAGCTTTAACTTCACAACATATCACGCAGTAATTATTTTACTATTCATAATCATAATATATGTATATTTTTTTTATTTCATCATCATACCTTATGTGTTAAAATATAATATACATGTTTATTAATAATATATCTTCAAAAGTAAATTATATCATGAAGTTGCATTATACAATATTTATACTATTGGTACGTTCTTTTTCCGACCATAAAATAAAGGAGAATCGAAATAAAAATAAGACCACGAATCAATGTTGACTCGAGGCGATCGATATTTCTTTTTAAATTGGGATTGAGGAGTTATACCAAAAAGGTTAAACTGAAAAGAGAAAGAAGGCCACTGATTGGTTGGTTATTCGGTCGGAAAAACGATCGATAATATTGATATCCAAACGACAACCGAACTGGATCGATCCGTAAGATCCACGTTGACATAGCGTTCTTATCAGACTTATAATTTCATCACGACAAACTTTTCTACACGAAACAGATCAATGGCACTTTATGAAATGTATTAGAGAATCCGGTACGAGCCCCTTATATGGAATTTTGAACTGTTGGATGATCTGAGCAGCTATACAGCTTAATTTGGTATATTTAGCAGTATTAACTATGTGTTTGTCGTGCACTAGGTTGGTAAACGTGTTTCCAGATTTGTTGACAACGTCAATATGCGCCCCATTGTCTAACAATGTTTTGATTAGCTCAACAGGAACGGGGTCGTTTTCTGCTGCCAAGTGTAAGGGAGTATTGCCTTCGTCATCTGCTGCATTAGGATCCGCCCCCACGTCCAATAAGACTTTAGCTAGCTGCTGAGACGGGAACTGATAAGCGGGATAACGAACCACTAAGGACGCATCTTTGCAACAAGCCAAATGCAACGCAGTTCTTCCTTGTTTCACTGTCACTTTTAACTTTACCAGACTGTAAATCGCTTTGTAAATGATTTTTCGGTGTAGTTCGTGAGCTGTAGGATGCTCGAGCATCTTCACAAGGAGACAGGCTAGATGAAGCGTAATAACGAGCACATGAGTCAGATGGGTGAGATCTTTTTCGACTGTGGGCATCTTGTCTAACATTTCACTACCCATTTCAACTTCACTTAGGGCTTTCCTGAACACTTTGAGCAGATCACCAAGAGCTAAGGGTGGGACAACTTGGCCTCGGGTAGTATGTTTGCCTTCCTCGCCCATCATGTACGAAAACAACTCGGTAAATGAGAATAGGCTACTTTGTGTCATCGAGTTGAGTCTCTCTAACATTGACTGTTGCATGTCCAGAGCGTAATTCCAAAGCTCAATGCATTTGTTGAATTTACCTAACAAAAACCAGATTTTGAAGTAATAATAAATCGAAGATAATTTGGTTAAATTTAAGATTAGTTACTTCAAATACTTCAACTTCAATACAGTCTTAGAAAATACTAGAAATACCATAATTGACCCTTTCTTTGTTCTTTAATAATTAATAATCAACAATACAGAATTTTTTTATACCTTACCTGCGTCAGCATACACAGCTCCTCTGAATCTTATGTAGTAACTAGTGTCGGGATGTGCAGGTCCAAGGATTCTCTCCCTCATTACCAAAGCTTGCATTTTCATCTCATCAGGATCGGTCATTAATTCTTCCAAGTCTTCGGGATTTTGGATTTCGACGGCATAGTCGTAAGCTTGGATTGGTTCTGCTATTGTCTTTGGTATATCCGGACCTTCACCGTTATATCTGAAGCAAAATAATATATTAAGGCGATTGAAAAATTACCCAAATAAGGAATAAGGAAACAAGGAAGAAGGGCTATAATTTGGATGGAGATATTTACCTCTCATTTAGAGCCTGTTTCCAGTAACCTAAAGCGCCAATCATATCTCTCTTTTTGTCGACATAAGTAGCTCCAAGCAGTTCCAGTGCGTCGATTTTTTCCTTTCTAGAAACTAATTCGGTTTGTGTAATGAGATAATCAACGATTTGGTTATGACCTACGACTGCAGCTGCTAGTAAAGGAGTCATTCCTGAAACCAAACAGAATCATTACTCTCATGTTTCATGTCTGCATGTATTTTTAAAGTTTTTACCATACGAATCGACGTCCATCGTGCCTCCATGTAGCAAAAGAAGTTTTAAGATTTCTAAACTTCCGGATTCGGCACAATCGTGGAGGGCTGTGTTACCCTTCACACTTTTCCGGTTAACATTTGCATTCAGTTCAAGTAAATATTTAGCTATGTGTACGTGACCTTTGTAACAAGCTATCATCAAGCACGTGTGGCCATGTCTATTGGCTATTTCTATATCTGTGAAAAACACGAGAGATCAGTGTAAAGGCAAGACTTAAGGGATATCGCCACAAAAGATACCGAATGAGATTAAGAGTTAACTCACCTGCACCACTTGCAACTAAGAATTTGACTATTTCTACATGCCCATCAAAACAGGCTGCTCTAAGAGGTGTAGAGTTTGTACGAGTTGTACTATTAACTTTTGCCCCGTGTTTTACGAGAAGTTGCACGAGTTCTAAATAACCAGCAGCAGCTGCGCACCATAATGGTGGAGCACCCTCTATAGTTTCACCATCAAAAGTTACTGAAACAATATTTAACATTAGCGATATTGCAATGTTTAGGGAATAAAAAGTAGAAAATGTTGGAGATTATAAGTCTTATGGACTAGTTAGTTGATATTGTGTGATATAACTTTTATATAACTAGTAAATCGTTGCGCGCACTCGATACCTTGCAATTCTGTTATTCTTTTTAGTGTTTCAAATTAAACAAATTTGATTTCTTAAGTTTTAAAATTTAGCCCAGACAAAAAATTTATTTTATTAATTAATTTGGCCAATCGCCTCCAATGATTTTAAATTGCCGCCGTGACATCTACTATATACTATAGACAAGGTAAACGTGTACCTGATCCAGTTTGTTCGATGTCCGCATTACAGTGTTCTATAAGAAATTGGACAACTTCGTAATGACCATTTCTACAAGCAATCACTAAAGGAGTAGCTCCTTGCGTTTTCGTTCCCACTAGCATCGAAATTTCTTCTTTGCTTTTGTTGTTGTGTAGGAAAAACTAAAAATAAAATACAAAAATAGAGTGAATATCAAACACCTATTCTAAAATGATTAAATAAAAACAATTTTAACGTAAATTAAGACAAAAATAATGGACCGAAAACTGATTTTTATAAATTTTTTACTGTTACTGTTGGCGGTCACATTTTATTATCTCTACAGTACCAATATATCCGTTACAATTTATAAATTAACATAAGGTGTACTTAATTTATTATTTATTTACTGCTATTAAAAATGTGATGCAAGTTTACTAAAAATTGCAACATTTCATCACATTTATGTAAATTAGTTGCTTTAGAAAGTAAAGTAGAAACTCCAAAGTCGAACGTTTAAAGTCCAAGAGGAAATCGGCTGATATAGGCCAATTTTCCAGTATAATGTGTTAAATATCTGCTAACTAATTAACAATACTTGTTTTTATTAAATATATAATTTGGTTCCGATTTTCTTTTTATTTGGTGCATGAACCACACTCATCGTCAGTTAAAAAGTTTATAATAATAACAGTGGTAGTAGTATGTAATACGTATATTATATTTTTACAATAATTTGAGGAATATCGTACAATATTTAATCGTCAAAACTTTATTTCATTCCCTCAATAATGAAATTAAAGCAAATTAAAAGTGAATAACAAACAAGGGGTTGAACTCGTAATATACAACTCACCCCAGAATATTTGTAGGTGTATTAAATTTATTTTCGTTTGTTACTTGAATGATAAGATATAACAACTGCAACTTGTTTCATGAGAATTATGTCTTTTAAACGGTTCAGTACAAAACAAATCTACATTATTAACAAATAGTTGCATCATTAACTTATGCGTTTCATAAGGCAAAGTAATTAAAAAATGAGTTGATCGACACACAGTCGCATTGTATACAATAAAGGACCTAATTTATGAGCAATTAACCAATTTGAAATTGGGCCAAATGTCTTGTCTTAGCTTTGTAAAATATACAGAGTGACCATTATTTCTATATGTATCTTATTTACCTAATAGTATTTTTACATATGATGAAACAACAGAATTAGTAAAATTGAAAACACTTTATAAATCGTAGTGGTGACTAAGTACCTATAATTAACGGCTGAAGAACTTGTATTTATACATTAAGAATTTATTAAAGAGTGTTCCCATTCAACATTCAACACAATAATATCAAGATCTTTAGTAATAAAAATTAGAAGTTTATTAAGGTGCGTTACTATTACTTAAACATCCTGTATATCTACAGATATTTAATTTTGATTGCGGGTTCCTGTGTACTTACAGGAAAGTAAATATGCATCAGGTCTAAGAAATGAGAACACAAAGTAGTGTATCGAATGAAAAATAAGTGGGTCAAATTTATATTAAAAGTTGGACTACTTTACGTGGAGTGATGAATTTGGGTTAATGCCAACAAAAAACAAAAATAATTACGTCTGAAAAAAAAAATCGGCTTCATGATACCAGAAGTAGAAATAATACTTTTTGTAAAGTTACAGTTTGAACTTCTTATCATCTCATTTTGACACGTTTGATGATGATCAGGATAGTACCGATAGCAGATTTAAATTGTTTTTTACTATTTCACTAGCAAATATTTAACAGTAAAATAGATATTTGGATAGTTATGTGCAGAAATGCACTAGTACTAATAAAAATTAAATACGAAATAATTTATCAAGAAACATTATTTTTACTTAAGATTTTACGTAGAAAATCATAACTACATTCATGAGAATGTATTTATTATAAAAGTGTTAAGTGCTAACTGCCAAAATATTAACGTGACATTAACGAAGTAATTACTTTTTATTTAATTTAAAAATAACTACCTTAGATAACAATCTTACTCATTGACTGAATACAGAATGAAAAACATTGTATTTTTAAAGGTCAATGGTATACATAAGAAATAAGTAGGTATATTTATTTGAGTCGTCTTTTCTGTCAATGTCACAAGACAAAGGCTGAAAATGTAGCTATAGTTAAAATACTTTGTTTCCTGGTTTTTGTTCGAAGCTTCAGCTATTCAATTGAAATATTATTCAACTTAAATTGATAGCATTTCTCATATAATTAAAAGATGTATATAAAATTTCCAAATATATCCAAACGTTTAAGGTATTTTTGGAAAATTATATAACGCGAAATATCAACTATTTATAAAATTTCGCATATTTGTGTGAATGATATGTCTAATAATTTTATCTATCCAATGTTTGTCAGCAAAAGTAGCAAAAACACTCCTTCACTGATTAAACTCTTTCATCACAGACATCCTACCTTGAGACGCTCAAGATTGCCATCCCTAGCTGCATAAAACACTGATTTCTTATTCATGTCTTTTTTATTATTTAAATTAACATTCCCTTAACAAATTTTGTCTTGTTTAAACATCACACTTAACCTCTAAACCAACAACTGTCACAATCACAGATACATTGTTACATCTGATGCTTTGACGTCAACGTAAAACATCGCAGATTTTATAAATTTAACGCGATTTTTTTTCGTATAATATAAATATTAATAAGTATGCGTATGCATTTAATGCTGCACTTCTTGCACCGTATTTTCTGCGTATTACTCTCGGTTTCAGATTCTAGAATAAAAATAACCGTAGTGTCTCCTGCACGGTCTGGCTGTTTTAAAATTTATTAAAAGAGCACACGGGCCGTGTTTCTAAGTTTATTACCTGCACGATCTGACCTCCAACGATTACTGAAGTCTTGATATGATTCTGACCATATTTTGATACATGTAACTCACTTTTTCTTATTTATACACCTAATAACATAAATAAATTTTAAGTTTACTAGTTTTCCCCCTGCTCTCGACCATTATTATTGTTCAACTATGACGTAGTGTCGGCCATCATTCTTTTCTAATTGTTGCAGTTGTCGGCCATCATTCTTTTCTAATTGTTGCAGTTGTCGGCCATCATTCTTTTCTAATTGTTGCAGTTGTCGGCCATCATTCTTTTTCAATTGTTGTCGCATTGTCACTAATGTCGGCCATTATGGTTTATTAATAGATGTATAGTAATCAATGATTAAAAATTAAAGGAATTGTTTGTAAATAGGTATGCAACACATCGCACACTTCAGCATAAGAAATTGCTGATACTAACTTTCATTTACGTAATGCTACTTTGCCCTGTGCTGACAGCACTCATAATTTTTTTTATTAATTTGTTTTTACTAATTCCTTTTTAATGTTATGCAATTTTGAAAGTGCTGTTATGGTTAGTTTAAGCTGCCCTGATTCATTCAAATAAAATTGAAAAAGAATATACAGTTTAAATGATATAATTCAATCTAGAATCTAGGCCGTGTATATAATAAATTGATAAATGAACTATTTAGATGCTTAACAAAGCTATATTATTATGTATCATCAAATCAATAAATTTAAAAATACGATCGGAACGTACACCAGACACTATGATAGTATTTGTGGCGTTCTCTTTTAAACGTAAGTCAACATAAGTAAAAACTTAAGTAAGATTCTGTTGGGTGGTAGTAGACATTTAAAGGTGGGAGAAATCCTTTTTTTTATGTATACATTAAACGCAGGTGTAAGGCTGAAAATGTGGTAAATGGTAATAGTGTGTATGAAATGACCGCTGGTCAGAGGGGTGAGGTCCATAACTTCTATAAGGTCATTCATATTCTCTCTCAAGAAGGGGAAGGGGTGACCTTGCACACACACTTAAAACCGCTTTCGAAAGGAAGGGAAAGGTGGGGGTTGGAAATAACAAATCGAAGTAAAAGAGAGGGAATTTTTACTCATTATAAATTAGCCTTTTCTCTTTGGTGCATAAGGTTTGGTTAAAAACAGAACGAAAGAATAACATTACGGTAGATAAAAGCCTCCCCCCACAAAAAAGATCCGTAACTTGTTTAGTGTTCTACAATGTCATTTCTACCCTCCCACATCGACGTCACTTCCTACACACAATTATCGTTTACTTTATTTTCAGTTGTAATCTCCACCGCCTACCCTGCAGGAACGATATTTCTCTAGAGCCTTAATTCTAAATATTTCCCCCAAAAAATATCAGTTAATCTCTATTAGTCAGATAAGATTTTAAATTAACTTTACATTGACAATCATTAACTTGTTTTTAAATATTTTTTACATAAGTTACATACATATATGTATGCAATTTATAACGTGGGCCAATTTATATTTTCAATTTAATCACTTATTACCTACTTTCATAATCTTGTTGGAAACAAATTTGAGAATAATTCCTGAACTCCTTTATTTTGTTAAATTAAATTGCTTTTTTAATATACAAGTTATTAAATTCTTTTATGATAAAGTATATTTTTATCATTATTCATGAATATGCGCCCTTTACAAAAGTACACATCTTAGAATTTGCTTAAGATAGAGAATATTTACAAGACATGTGGGCTACACTTTAATGTGATAGTCCCATGTAATACTCATGGGTAGAAGAACACAAATATTAAAGTTTATCATGATGAAAATCTAGAAACACAGACACTCGCTAGTATCATATTTTAATTATTGTTTAGTATTATCAGCTGGTATGATAAATAGTCACTGAGCTCTGGAATTCAATTAGGGGATCATTAGTCCTACGGTCAAGACGCTAACAGCTGCGCCTATAAGCTCATATAAAAGTGTCAGTATTGCTATTTCAACTGAATGTAAGCCATATGCTAGGTATTAGCAACAGTTAAAGCTCTTCTTCTCCCATAGATTTGCTTTGGTAAAGAGCAGAACACATTTTTGTTCAAAACATTTGATTTTGTCATGAGTGACCTTCACGATTGTTTGCTTCTACTCATGCGTTTTCCACCGAGAAGACGGTCATCTTGATGATCACTGCCCAAAATACACAAAAGTCCACCTAAGTATGATTCAAGTTATGTCAGTCAACCCTGGCACAGAACATTACATTGTGCCATAAAAATTATTTGGTTCGTCAAATACGAACTGTAATTTAATTGCTTGACGCACCTTGTTTATTACTTCAATGGTTGCTTTCCCTGTCTCGAATACTCTTACACAAATCGGGTTGCTTGGCTTGGTTATTTAGATCCACTGCAAAGATTTAATAAGGAATATGAATGATTTATTTTTATGCAAATTTAAATAGAAAAAAAACACTTACTTTTTTCTGTTTCTTCAGGTTCGATGCTTTAATTTTCCTGTTAAAGTAGCGTCATAATCTGCAATTCAAATCAAATACTTTTTATAATAGGGAATTTTTTCTAAAAATACCTTAATTAATATAAGATAATAATTTTATAGTTGAAAAGTTTTTTTTATTTGAAATGAAAAAAAAGCTATCTTACCACTACTTGTAGTGAAAATCAGCTTGTCTACCATTAGCATTTACAAAAATGTTAAAAACTTTATTATTAAAATCTCGAATTTGTTTAACCATTTTTTTCTCCACGGATAACATGGTCAGTGCTGTAAGTCTGTCCTGAATTACTGTATTTCTTAAAAATGTTTTGACACGTTTCAAAGTTGAAAAACACCTATCATTTTCAACAGTGGCCATTGGAATAGTAGCAATTATATTACACAGTTTATAGACTTCCGAAAACGCGTCATTAAGTTCATTTTCTTTTAAAAAGTTTAGCAAAGCACTAACACCTTCCATAGAACCCATATCTTCTCGTTTGTATAATATATTTAATTCTGATCGAAGTTTTCCCGTGTCAAAGAAATTGTAGCATTGAACAGTAGTTTGAAAATCACTTTCTGGAAAGTCTACTTTGTATGAATTGAAATTGTCTTTTGCCAACAAGTTTGAAAGAGACAGATGGTCTGTAAAAGCAAATATGCTTTTTAATTGTGTTAAAATAACGTCGCATACTTCTTGTGCAGCAGCTGTGGAGTTATCATTAAAGTTATCAGAAAATCTTAGTCTTTTACAATCATTTTCTTCTTTTATTATTATATAATCAGGTTCTGATTTAATTTTTGTAAGTTCTAATTCAAACGTACTTAAACAAGTTTTTATATAAGGGCCCGTGGCTGTTGGTTCTTGTAGTTGACAACACAAAGCATTAATGTGAGGCATAACACGATAAAATAAACTCAGCCAAAATAAGAAATCCTCATTATGCAAATAGTTAAGGAGTCTCGTTGATTCATTAATGGTCTTGGTGTCGTTAGCTGAATCAGTGATTACTTCGAGACATTTGATTAACAAATCTTTATTTTCAAACACAGTAGAAACAGTTCTCCCGGCGAAATTCCAACGGATAGGTGTTGCCCATGGTATCTGGGTTTTAACAATTTCATCTAACAACTGTCTTCGTTTGGTCGACGAAGAAAAAAACGACAGAAAATCGTGTATGTTAGCAAAAAAAATCTTCACATTTTTATTGATAGATGCAGCTTTTATGATGACATTATTTAACGGATGTGCATATGAATGAATGAAATGTGCATGAGGAAATCTCTCTTTAATTTTTGCTTGTATTCCACCAAATTGACCGTTTGTAACAGTTACTCCATCAAAACATTGAGCAATTAATTTTTCGGGTTCGACACCTATTGTCTCTAGTTCATTTAATAGGGCATTTGCTATGTGTTCATCTGTATGCCCTTCAGGTCTAACAAAACCCCAAAATCTTTCAGTTATTATGCCATTATGCACATATCTAAAGATTATGGCTATTTGCTTTTTATTATCGACATCGGTGGTTTCATCAGCTTGAATTGCTAGGAATGTTGAAGATCTTATTTGATGTTTAATATCACTTCTGCAGACATCTAGCATGGCATCCAGTAGTTCGTTCTGAATGGTTTTCGACGTGCCCTGAAAAGCAGTAGCTTTTAACAAATGTTCTTTCATAACTAAGTCCAATTCACTTATAAAATCCACAACTCCAAGGAAAACATCAGGATTATCAGAATTTTCCGTTTCGTCGTAGCCACGAAGAGCTAATTCGAAAGCACCGCAGAATGTAATACAATTGATTATTTGATTTAAAATATGCCTATTTTTATCAACATTTTCATTATGACGCCTTATATTGTCACGATAGGTGCCATCAAGCTGTTGCTTTATGTCTTCTTTTCCCAAAACACTGAAGTCTAAAGCGTTATGCAAATGCCTTTCGTTGTAATTGGCATGTTTCATAGCTCGTTCATTTAAATGTTTTAGATCACTCACCCCTTCTTGAGTCCATGCAGTTCTATCACCACCCATCACTAAGCAAACGAAACAAAACAATTTGTTTCTTTTGGGACACCCGCATAACCATTTAAACTTATCGTACGTGGTGCGGTTAAATCGTCTTTCAAAATTACGCAATTTTCCAACGTCGATTTTTGAAATGTTTAAATCGGGAGTCGGCCTGCCCAACCGTTTAATTTCTATCATTTCTTCGTAACTAATTTCTTTATTACCTAACAAAAAGTCAACTGAATTCATTTTTAATCTTAAATGCTTACAATTACAAATAAACCTGACAAATGTCACTGTCACTGGGTTTGTTTTTGTTTTTAATGTAATTCCTGTTATGCAACCTTCCTTGCAAAACAAATGCAAAGAGAAACAAATAAAACCGAATACAGGGGAATAATATCTATAGAATACATACAGGGCTCAGTCGAAAAGTTAGATCAATTTAAATAAAAAAACACTAATGAACTCAAGTGAAATGTCGACTGCGCTATTACTGAACTAAATTAAGATATAGATAGACCCAAAATTATCTTTTTATTGCGTTTAATAAAACTGGCCGGACTTTATGCGAATAATTCGTGTTTCGATTAGACAACATGAATGCATGTCAGGTTGCATATTCCTGATTAAAATTATGTGCTTTAACTAATTAATTGTTTTGCAGAAGTTAATGTATTACAAATTTGACTTATCATGCATTACTGTTAGTGTCTCGATATGTAGGTTTCTTATTTTTAATTAATTGTATTTTTGAAGTGAATTTGTTCTTTTTTAATTTTGTAATTATTCGTACTGATCTGCGAATGCAGTTTTTGAAAAGCGTAACGTATTATTGTTCAACCCAAAAGCTAATAATAATTTTTAAAGACAACTAGTTATTTTAAGCTAAAAGCTTTTATATTAATATTTTGATTTATTAAGGATTTTGTTGAAATAAAAAAGGGTGTATCGAATAATGAAAAGGTATATATTACACAGT